CATAAAGACTAGGAATTAAAATATGAATCTACCTTAGCACGTACCAGAGTCTCTACTCCCGAGTCGCTGTTATCCATACATGTGCGCCTTGCTTTTATCTGAAAAATGATGTGGCACACAACCTGAGTATTTCGAAAAATATTCAGTAAGTGACCCTAGGGGGTCATGCAAATGCAAACACATGCAATCATGCTATTGAGACCTATCTCTATCTCATCTAGGGTGGCCTCTAGTCTCAGACTACTATGGATATGTAGTACTTCCTTACACACGACCTCACACGTGCGAGTGTGAATCCCCAAGGGGCTCGCACACTCTCTGACCTTCTCTGATCAAGCTACTCTGTAGCGACGTCCAGAGGTCAATGAAACCCCTAGTATCATGCTTACCATGAACACCCTCATTATCATACTATGCCAGCACTCATCATCTTCAAGGGAAGTATCCTTATGCTTATGAACATGCAACATGCATGAGGTCTCTCTAATTTCCATCATATCATCTCTTCTGACATAACGTCTATCATAAACACACACCCTTGCATAAGCCAAGATATTTTTTTAATGAACCTTTATTCTTTTAATATTTTTATTGATCGGAGTATGTTTAAATTAATAAATTTTAATAATAATAATAATGTTTTATTCCATTATTTTCCTTTATATATTAGTCACAAGTGACATTTTAATAAAATATTTAGATTAAAGTTTAAGATAAGGTCTGATATTACAATTTTGTTTAATTAAAAATAAACTTTATTCGCATATGGTCATCACAATTTCCAACTGCGTTTTTAAGAATATTATTTAATTATCTTTTCGTAATTGTCAAGCTTAGCTGACTTTCTCTGTCCAACAAATTAATAAATAAATGACTCCCTTATAAAAGTTTAATCAACTTTAATTATTTTATAATAAATTTAATTTTTTAAAGCTTTTCTTAGTCTTCATAATCTCGGGATCGTCCTCATTCAAATGTAATCTTGATTCATTCATGTACTCCTCCTTTACTCGAGTATCACAATATGGCTAAAGAAGAACCTGACAATCGACAACTATCGAACATTGACGAATTACGGCGGTAGCTTCCATTAGACAGATGAGAGAACGAGATCAAAATTTCTTTTTTTTATTCTTCACATGCCAGCTGTTAGATAAGTCATATCAAAAGAGGATAAAATCCACAATATATACTAAGAAATTGTAAAAAGAATTTATTATTTTTGCCAATAAAATATATATATATATATATATATATGATAATTGAATAATATTATCCTTTTTGTTTCGCATAGGATAAGAATGATAATAACAAATAGAATTTATAAATATAAAAGGTTAAAAAAAGAAGAATATTGTACATAGTATACCTTAAAAATTATAATATAATAATATAGCCAAAAACCATAGGTTATAAATTATTTAGCATCAAATTTGTTATTCTTTTGCTAAATATAGTATTTGCATATTTTTATAAATTAAAGTTAATAATAATATGAACAAATTACTCCTTTAAGCAACTCAATCATTTGATTAAGCATATTATATATATTTTTTTATTTTTTTAATCAACTTGATTATAAAAATAATACATAGTTAATTGAGTTTCGATGAATATTAAGGAGCAAATGCTTAATTTTGTAATCATTGGGCAACACTTTAAACGACAGAAAAAAGAAAAAAAAAAAGGCTTTGTACATTTAATCATCATTAGATTACCTTTTAATTTAAGTTGGTTTACTTAAGTAAAATAATTGGGATTTTTTAAAATTTTTTTTAAATATAATTATTAAAATACTATGTTTTTCAAATTATTTATAAAAATATTGTAGTTTTTAGTTATACCCATCTCGATTTCATGTCATGAAATTATATTATATTGTCGGTTTTGTATGATGCAAAGGAAGACTGTAATGGGGTTGTAGTATATGATAATGAAAATGGAAAAATATTGAGACCTCATGCATTATTGTGTGTTCATGCATTGGGAGGATACCCCTTCTTCTTTCACGATAGTACGAACGCATACGCTATGAGATAAGGAAACGATCATTATGTTTACCATAATGTTGCCATGACAGTCATTATTCCTAACGGATGTCCAGCATCAACTACTACTAGAGAATGCTCGCCCAATCAGAAGGAGGCCAGGAGGTGACCGAACCGACTGTGGACCGTGAGTAGGTATTAGTACACAACCAATTATTCATTAAGGATAGCTGCAGTAGGAAAATAGATTGTTATGATAGGTATGGTTCATGAATGGTATGATTTTGCATTTAATCTCAATAGGGTGCTTCTTAAGTATTTCTTAAAATACTCCAACCATGTGCTACTCTTATTTTTTCAGGTAAAAATAAGGTGTCCCTATACGGCTGACGACGACACTCATTTAGTCTATTAATAAAGTTGAATTAATCTGGTACAAAATATTTATTTTCGTATTTAATTTCTTTTTAGAAAATTTTATTTTTCATTTTTTATCTTTTCGTAAAATTTATCGATAACAGTTACTAGAAAAGGAATATTCGGAAGCAGCAACGAGAAATTTCTAAAAGAAAAGAGGAAAGAGATTGAAAGAGAGGCGGATAAGTATTGAATTTAATGTTTTTGGATTTTTCCTTAATTTTTATTCTTAATATATGCTTTTAAAAACTAGCTTTAGGGCATAACCATTCTATACGAAAAAACTAGCTATAGAGTTTAGATTCTATAGTAGCTGACAACATTATCATCTATACATGTGACTCTTACCTTTACATATAAAAATGTTCAACGTGATTTGAATGTTTAAAAATATCAAGTGACTCGAATATTGAGGCTAGAAAATATAATCACATGCAAAATTGTTGCAAGCTCGATTAGGAGGTAAGTGGTTGCTTACCTATGATAGTTTATGGGCGAAAATCAAACATTCAACTTAAAATAAGACAATAAGTATGGTTGTGGGTCGATTTTCATGGCAGCCCACGAGCCCAATACCAAAGAATATCATAGGAAGTCCATCAAGACCTATATAGGAAAAACATACTCCCCTAATTCAGAAGTTGAGCTAAGGAGTAGGTCGAGTATTGTGAGGTTAGAAAGGTCACATGTGCTATTTCAACCTAAGTTGAGTTCAGTTCAACGTCATTTTCTATCGACAGAGTGAATGCATATCTAACTTTACAAGTCATAGTTATCCGTAAAAGAAAGCTCCAATGAGATACGCTAATGAGTGTATAACAAAAATATGGTATACATAGAAATGAAATGTGGGTAATAGTGGAAGGAAAATGACATAGGTAGCATTTTAGTGGAAGAAAAATGGGGTGTGGAAGAGAGGAGAGAATGAAAAGTGGAAGTTGTTAATCATTAGAAAAGGCATTATTGAATAAAAGTTGAGGGAAAGTGGGAGAGAGAAAACAACCACCAAATTGCCTTTTCTTTTTCAATTTTTTTTTTAATTTTTTTTTTCAATTACAGGCCTATGGCGTCCAATATTAGCACTCGTTTTAGTTCAATCCGATCATTTCAATCTCGGTAACCCTAGTTAAAAGATTCTCTCCGAACCCATCTTACAACTTTCATCGTACTGTACTCGAATTGGAATCTCATTCTAACTAAGGATACTTGTAGTTCCAGAGAATCATAAATAGACTGCTCTTATTTTGTTTTAAAAATGCTGGTTGTAAGAACGAGTGATTCTCCTTCTCGGACACTTATTACCCAACCGAATAGCGGACAAGTAATGTGTTGCACTTATTGAACAGGGTTCTATGGTCGGTCCACAACCCCTAAAAAAAAAAAAACGTTGACAAAAACAGCCACCAGAAGTGTCAGACGTGGTTGAGGTTGCGGCGGTGGCTGCAAGACCTCAAGTCAGCCGTCATTGTGATGAGAATTATCCCTTTTATCTACAGCCTTAGGGATTGCCCTTTCTTTTGTGTCGCAGCTTTAATAGGTTGATTCCAATCACACTCTATGGTCTTGTCACCGTCCATATCCAATCATCCAAAACCATAAATTTTAACTACCATATTCAATTTATAACTTTCCCCTTTCTATTTTCACCATAAATTACAAGTTACGATTATATACGAGTATATATTATAATGTATTAATTAAGTTTAATAATAATTTTGACAATAAGTATGAGTAATTAAATAAATAGTTGATACAATTTTTGTATGGTTTATTTTATAAAGTAATGATTAATAAATTAAAATAAAGCTTATGCTATAGACCAAACTACGGTTGGGTTCTTATCCACTTCTCCCACTCGTACAAATATGGCGGGCAAGCAATTAATATTTGATATATATGCTTTTCCTTTTATAATTATTTCTAAATTAAACTCACAAAATATTTCAAATCCGACCCATCATATAAAAATGGTTTAATTTTATAAAATTTAGAAACTTCACGTGTACTAATTAGGTTAGGTGACCATGTTACAGATAAATGTCAAGTTCATTAGATGCTGATATGGGTCGTTACCGTACTAATTAAAAAAAAAAATGCATTTGTATTAATTTTAAAAATGATTTGCCTACTTTTGGATATTCCTGTGCAATAAATTAAACCCCTATGGAAACATAGGTTTTATAAACCACCTTCAATCTCTTTCCCAATTCTCGATACGGTGTTAGGAGATACAAATTTAAATGTCCAAAAATTAAATTTGTATTTTTTTTTGTTTTTGAAAATATTCAAATAAAATAAAATAAAATAATAAAAGCCCAAATAAAATAAAACCAGCGTTACATATAACTACTGGAAAACGAAGTGGGCTTCCTTTCATTATCCCTTTTTATTATTATTATTATTTTGTAAATTAAATTAAATTAAATCCGGATCAGAAAATACCCGACCCGTTTCAAACTCCACCACCGTCCAGAAAAGGGTGGTAATTCGAGTACACTTCCAGGGGTATAAGAGTCATTTGGGAAATTAATCACCGTATATGGACGGCGTCGGCTACCGGAGGAACGCCTATATATATTTGACCGTCTGTTAGAATCTTCCATCGCATCCCCATCTTTGTCTCTCTCCATTTAAACCAAGTAAAAAGCTCTGCAACTCTTTCTCTCTCTCTCTCTCTCTCTAGAACGGGATTTTTAGAGAGAGAAACACGTTGTTCCATTGGTTACTGGTAACTGTTGGTTGTTTTTGACTTGTGTCCGCCAAGCTCAAGTCGCAGTGGACTGTATTGCGAACGCCTTTTGTTGAATCACTCTCGATTGATTCCAAGTTGTGATTTCAACTCTCAGGTAATTCCCATGGATTTTGTTTTCTATTTCTGGAAGTGAACGTGTACGGACAGGGCGTAAAAGTGTTTTCAGGTCGAATTGATGCGAATAACGTTGCGGTTTTTGATTGGCGTTGAGGTTTATTGGAATTCGAAAATGTCTATTTGAGTTTTAATTTGATTTTCGTTGATTTCTTGTTTGAATTCATCGTCCTCTTCTCTGCGCGCTTACTCTGATCTTAATCTGTTTTCGCCTTTGAAAAGTCTCCGTTATTTTAATCTTTCGTACCTGCTTTTTTCGACGAAAGTTAAATTTTATATAATTTTTACATTTGAATAGTGGAGAGTTCTTTTTTTGTTTTTTTTTTTAAAGCCAGTTGGTTCCTTCTGCAAACGGTCTGATGCTATAAATCCGTCTGGTTGCCGTTTACTCCATCTTGTTTGTTTCTCCTCTATTTTCCGGGAAACAGTTTCCCGGAAAATTTCTTGATAGTTGACTTGGTTGGATTTCATCAAATAATTTAGATCTTCGAGCGGCGACTTGTTCTTCTGCCTAGAGGACACTTCAATCCAATCAACCAGTTCTTCTTTCTGCTGTAATTGCTTTATTTTCTTCATGTTTCTGTTCAAATGTTGACTTGTGGCCATCCACAAGTTTGCCATATTCTCTCCTACTTTCTTTCTTTCTGGGTTCTGCAAAAAAAAAGGATCAATCCCCAAATCCTTTGTCTCATCTCATGGACCCCTTCTGTTTTGAACGTAAACATTCGTTATTCACGTTTTTGGTTTTAACTTTTTTCATGCCTTATCCAGTAGTTTCAGTCCCTTAGCTGTCTTGCAAATTTGAATCGCTTGATTAATCTAATCTCCCTTATACTCCGGTGCCCTTTTGTCTGTATCAGTCTGCTGCCGGCGAGAATGTTGGAGAAAATGATGGAAGCATTCGATGGGGAGAAGGTGATTGAGCAATTCGAGGAAATGACTAGAGATGCTGAAAGAGTTCAGAAGGAGACTCTTAAGAAGATTTTAGAGGAAAATGGTTCGGCTGAGTACTTGCAGAACTTGGGATTAAATGGAAGAACTGATCCTCAGAGCTTCAAGGACTGTGTACCGCTTGTTTATCATGACGATTTGGAGTCATATATTCAGAGAATTGCAGATGGAGCTTCTTCCCCTATTCTCACTGGAAAACCAATCAAAACCATTTCCTTGAGGTACTTTTGCAATTTTTTTCAGACCAAGTTTTGTTTTGATTCATAGTATTAGAGATTTTGTTGTGTTTACTAATGAGATTTTTGGTTGGTTGTATGATGTAGCTCTGGTACTACTCAGGGGAGGCCCAAGTTAATTCCCTTCAATGATGAATTGTTGGAGACAACAATGCAAATTTATCGCACTTCTTTTGCCTTTAGAAACAAGTAATGAAACTGTCTTTTCTGTTCTAGAATCTCTTCTGCCTTGTGTTTGGAAATTGATTGTGGTCTGGTCTCTGAATCATTTCTGGTCTGAACTGAATAGCTTATTGGTTTATTACGTTTGTTATCCTTTTACTAAATAGTATAAAATGGGTTCTACAGAGAATTTCCCATTAGAAATGGAAAGGCCTTGCAGTTCATCTACAGCAGCAAGCAGTTCAAAACTAAGGGGGGTCTAGCAGCAGGAACTGCAACAACGAATGTTTACCGTAGCGCGAAATTTAAAAGCACGATGAAGACGATCCAGTCACAATGCTGTAGCCCAGATGAAGTCATCTTTGGCCCTGACTTCCACCAATCTTTGTATTGCCATCTCTTGTGTGGGCTGATCTTCCGAGATGAAGTTCAGTTTGTGTTCTCCACTTTTGCACACAGCATTGTCCATGCTTTCAGGACTTTTGAGCTAGTATGGGAAGAACTCTGCGGCGACATTCGAGATGGTGTTCTCTCTAGTCGGGTCACTGCTCTCTCCATTCGTACAGCCATGTCAAAAATTCTTAAGCCAAATCCTGAATTGGCAGATTTGATCTATCAGAAATGCGCAGGATTGAGTAATTGGTATGGGCTGATACCAGAGCTCTTTCCCAACGCACAGTACATTTATGGGATCATGACCGGCTCGATGGAGCCTTATCTGAAGAAACTGAGGCACTATGCAGGCCATCTGCCATTGATGAGTGCTGATTATGGTTCTTCAGAAGGATGGGTTGGAGCAAACGTTAACCCAATGCTGCCCCCTGAAATGGCTACCTTTGTTGTGCTTCCAAACATCGGATACTTTGAATTTATCCCGCTAAAGGAGAATTCTCAAGATCAGGAGCAGGAAGGAGATGGAGGAGCTATTGTTGCAAAGGAGAACAAGCCAGTTGGTCTGACAGAAGTCAAGGTTGGTGAAGTGTATGAAATAATTGTCACCAATGTCGCAGGTAATTCCTTCCAATTCATGAAACTAGACGCTATAACATTGTTTTGTTTCCTCCGAGTCAAACATGAATGAACGGTTCACTGAGTGGCTGTTGTGTTCCCACAGTCTTATTCCAACTCATATAGTCCATCTCCACGTCTTTTGTTGCGTTCTTCCAATGTCAAACTTCTTTCAATGCTTCCCATGTGACTGTAGGGGGCACGCAGAACAATCACTGCCCTTTTCTTTGTCCTCTTCCATCCTACATATTTATCACTTGTGTTGTGGGGACATCATTTATTGATTGTCCACTTTTGTTAGATCCCACGTCGGTTGTAAAGGAGAACAAATCATTCTTTATAAGGGCGTGGAAATCTCTCTTTAGTGAACGTGGTTTAAAACCTTGAGGAGAAGCCCGGAAGAGAAAGTCCAACAAGGACAATAGGCTGTTACAAATAGTATCAGAGCTAAACACCGGGCAGTGTGTCAGTGAGGACGCTGGGCTTTCTAGGAGGTGGATTGTGAGATCTCACATCGGTTGGAGAAGTGACGTGAAAACCTCTCCCTAATAGACGCATTTTAAAATATTGAGAGAAATTCCAAAAGGGGAAGCTAGTGGACAATATCCACTAGCAGTGGGTTTGAGTGGTTACAACTTTAGACTTAATCCATATGATTTGCAACCTAACTAATTCATCTGGTTGTTGCAGGGCTGTACCGTTATAGATTAGGAGACTTAGTGAAAGTGATGGGGTTCCATAACGCAACGCCAGAGCTGAAATTCATGTGTAGGAGCAACCTTCTCCTGAGCATCAACATCGACAAGAACACCGAAAAGGACCTGCAACTAGCAGTGGAGGCAGCCGGGAACGTACTGGCAGCAGAGAAACTCGAAGTGGTAGAATTCACGAGCCATGTCGACTTATCAAGGGAGCCGGGGCACTACGTAATCTTCTGGGAGATAAGCGGGGAGGCAAAGGGGGAGGTGCTAGGGGAATGCTGCAACTGCCTAGACAGAGCCTTCCTGGACGCAGGGTACATGAGCTCTAGAAAGGTGAATGCCATTGGAGCCTTGGAGCTAAGGGTGGTTGGCAAGGGAACTTTCCACAAAATTATGAACCATTATCTGTCTTTAGGAGCGGCTGTGAGTCAGTACAAAACCCCTCGTTGTGTTAGCCCTGCAAACACCACTGTCTTGCAGATCTTATGCGCCAACGTCGTTAAATCCTATTTCAGCACTGCCTTTTAAGCCTCTATGTTTGTTTGTATTGTATCTGTGTTAGCCCCCACATGTCTCCACAACTTGTCACTACCTCTATTGTATAATGTAAATTTTCAAATTCTACTTATAAAGTTTCCCTTTTTAAATCAAACCCCATAAAACCAACATATGAATTCAATTTAATTTATTAAACTAATTACAATTAAATTTTGCATTAAAAGCTTGAAAGCGAAAGGGAAATGAATTTTGATGGGTTGGTTGGCAGGGGATCGCACAAGTCTAGATTCATGGGGTGCCTCGCTGCCACGTGGAACAGTGCGATTGGACGGCAACAGATCTAGACAGATAATTTAGAATAATGATTATAAAAAATTTTAATTTAAAATAGTGACCTAACTTCGTTATTTTAAAAAATAAATAATTAATTAATTAAAACAAGTTGTATTTAATTTAAATCCAAAGTAAAATACCCATTTCACCATTGACATTATTAATACTCAACTTTCATCATGCTTATGACAGAGATTTATTAAATTAATAAACCTAAACTTTTTTTTTTTTTTTTGTAAAGTGGATTATTACTTTTTTTTTTTTTTCCTTTTGGGGTGAAATATCTTATTTGCCTTTTGTTTCATTGTCCACTTTCTTTTTGTTGTTTATCCATCATGACATATGTATATATGGACCTAGGGAGGATAATTTTTGTTTTCCTATTTTGCCCTTGATTCTTTCGTAAATTCTTATTTTGCCCTTTTTTTTTTTACGGGACGCAATTATTCGCGCCGAAATAGGGTGAGCCAAGAGCTGTTAGCAACTTCTCTTGGCTTGGTGGGTCTGTTCGGCTTAAGCGGCTTACCTGGCTTTTAAGGTCAGTGTGCTATTGTTATTTTGACTTGACTTTTACATTTTCAACTCTTCTTGAGTTGTTTTAACCTTATTTGAGACATTTAAGGTTAGTCTGGACCCTAATTGCTTAATTTAAATTATTTCAATCTAAAAGTTGGAATTATTTGATACTTTTAGGTAATCTAAGTTCGCTAATATGTCTTAATACAGTGTCGTGGGTCAACCTAGGTTGAAACGAACTTTGAGGGACAAAATTAAATCAACTTTAGGAATATTTATTGACTTCGACTTAGGTCAATCAAGTAAGTGACTCTACGGTTGGCTTGGTTAGATGAATTGTATTATGTATGATGACACGTGCTTTGTGGCCACTGCACATGTCAGATGTACGAATGGTATAATATGTTATGTCTTGTATGTCATCTTACCCTATGTTATGCTATGATAAGCTATGTCATCTATACAAGCTATGCTATAATTTGGTCATACCATGTTATAAAAATTGTTATGAAACTCGATAATCAACGATGCATAAACCTCTCTGAACTATGCCATGAAAGCTATGCTGTGTATGAAATAATTTACCGGAATTATATACGCATAATTCACAATTTATTATGTTATAAATGAATAGAGGTTTGTCTTGCATCTTAAATTATGCCATGAATTTAAGTTATTGTGAGCTCATGCATTTTGTTTATCATATGCATCGAAATACTTCTCTGTTATAATGAGTACGAACGTGTACTTTACGACTTACGACATTTATGTTCGCCATAAAGTTATGTAGGCCCTTTCACTTTGTGATGTTCGACAACCAACATTAGCAAGTGCTAGCTCCACGAGCTAGGCCTAGGGGTATGCGAGCCTGCCTGGTGGGTCCATGCTCGCATGTGTGGGTTATGTGTAGAGAATTACTATACATCCAACCTTGACGAAAAGGAAAGTTGCTAAGGCCATGTCATGGTGTTTTTTAAATGATAGTTCCCACTATGTTTGCACGTGTTTACATTTCCTAACCTCATGAGTGGGGTTACTTACAAATTATGTCTTAAAATACTAAAGTCACGTGCTACTCTTATGCACGTAGCCCAAGAATGTCATGGAACCAGTAATATAGTAGTTGGATTATGTATTTTGTAGCCCTTACGTTAGATTAGAGCATTGATTTATTTTTCCTATGATGTTGCTTTTAAAATTTTACTGTGAACTTTTAAATCCATGATCGTTTGAAATTATTTTAAATGAATGTTTCCACAGTTAACAATCATGTCATGCATATGGTAACAACTTTATCGTAGCAGAAAAATAAAGTCATTATGGCTCAATCTCGGTAATTTATGGACTAAAAAACAAAAACAAGGTTGTCTCAACATCACCCAATAAAAATAAAATTGGACAACCAAATTAAAAACTAAATCCAAATCCAAATCCAAATCAAATCAATATTTTAACTAAGCTACATGTTTTTAAATTATTTTGAAAATCACAAGGATACAATGAGTTTGATTCGCGATCATCCATCCACTTAAAAACAATGAACAATTACAAGAATCTTTGTCCTCTAATTTGAGGGCAAACAAATGTGCAATTTTGTTTTTTAATTTTAAAAATAAAACCAAACTGAGATTTAAAAACGCCTTTGATGAAGAACAAACAAAACAAAACAAAACAATGAGAGAAGAATTGGGCGTATGGGACTGTGGCAGTCCATTATACGACTCCTACGAGCTCGCCTCCCTTGCCCATATCATCGACCGCCATCTCATGGCATTGCCGCCGCCTCACTACGGCGGATCACGGCGGTTCTTCTCCAACAAAGTCTCCCACTTTTCTCACATCATGCCATCTCCGCCGCTCTCCGCCTCCACTTTGAAAAAGAAGCCGGTGGGCGAAATGAAGAACAAGCTCAAGAAATTCAAAACCACTGTGAGTCTTTCTGCAATTCTTAACAGATTTGGGTTTTGGAAAAAGAAGTAATTTAATTTCCCACCCATTTGCTAACCTTCAATTTGTGTTCTCAATAAATTAATTATTCAATCTTGTATAATTCAAATTACTTGAATTTAATATTTTCTGCTCTTCTAAATCAATTTTATTTGGATCTAAATTCTAATTTCCTTCATCTCTGGATTCTATTATTTGCATATTTAGTATGCATTAACCTATTATTTATATATATACACGAGTCAAACTCATTTAAATTCGACTACTCAATTTACTCTCAAGCTTCTAGCACTGAAAAAAGGTTTTAGAAAACGGGATAAATAGATGTCGGAAAGAGAATTTGAAAGTAAGATTGAAGGAATGTTTTTGAAAGCAATGTTATAGAGTATAAGCTAAAAATGGAACGGAACTAATTATTTAATTTTAAAAAATAAATAAAATAAAAATTTTGAAGATTTTAAAATTTAATGAATGGTTGAAAATGGAAAGTTTTTTCTTTTTTTTTTTTCTTTATGAACATTTATTATAATGTTTGCTTTTTCTACGGCAAACAAACTATTTAATGAGCTTTACGTTTTGAAAAATAAAATCATATAATTATAAGTGGAAGAAACGTCTGAAATAAAAAAAATAAAAATAAAAAAACCTTTATTATTTTTTCAATTTTGGTATATGTATTTTAAAAAAAAAAAAAAATAGAATTGTTAAAAGTTGATGAATAAAAAATATAATTTTTATAAATAGAAAATGGAATAATGTTGAATAAATAATTGGTTGTATAAAGTAGAATTATTAATTTAAAATTGAGATTGAAAGAAAATTGGGATTATTATTGAATAATATGAAAAACAGTAAAAAGACAGCACTGTTCCACGAGCTCTCCAACCAACATCCCACAATTGCTGTCCCAACAAACTCAATTTAAGACTCAAACACTGTTTTCTTCTTTCAATAGATGTGAAAACGCATGATCCTAACAACCAAACGTGGATTGTTCTAATTCCTAACCTTAAGGATCCAATCCAAATGGGATTTGTAGGGTCGTGGGCCCGATCACGTCGTATTCAAATTTTCATCCAATCTCTCGGCTACATGTTAAAATGGGTCGTTGCAACGTTTCATGTCTAGAATTTAGATCAAGATTTATAATTCAAGTTCAGTGCTTAACGACATTCTGCGACATGACCACATTACTTACTTTTCATAGTTTGTCCTCATTCACATGTTTTTAAGAAAATTTTAAAAAAGTCGACAAAATACCCTTAACTTTAAAGTTCTCATGATTGAGATACCGAAAAGAATTTTGTTAGTATTTGTAATAATTCTCGTTTCTTTTAAACATTTTTTAGTCATTATATCTCATAATTGTTTTCATTCTCTATTTATTCATTTACTTCTCTTTTACTCACAGGTGTCACCGTCGTAGACTCTATGATTGCATAAAGTCAATCGTCATTTTGTCGTCAATTGCACATAGTTTAGCTCATATAGTCACTCGTGTTCTAACTTTTTTTTTCCTCAAAGGGCACGATTAGAATTGTCTTTCGTAAATAAGGGTAGAAAATACGAGATAGGAAATGATTTAACGTTTCATTGTTTCATCAACCTCTTATTTACATTTTTGTTGATTATTCTCGATTATGTTGCAAAGACATTCCAGAGGAAAAAAATATGTTAAATTTGGTGCACGCAAAAGTAAATCACGTGGCCATAAATGGGTTTTTTTTTTTTTTTTTAATGATTTCAAAATAGGGCTTTTATTTGGGCCAGGCCCACAGTCTAGACATTCATGTGGGCTAGGCTGAGTCAGCCCGCAATCTATATGGGCTGGCCTCATCTAATTGAAAACAATCACAATAATTACTTAAATCTCAAAATTAATAAAAAAAAATACTAATTCCCATTAAAATTTTCAATAATACCCTTTAAATTTCAAAAATACTTTATTTAAAAAATAGTTTTCAAAAATTTTATTTATATCTTAAACTAAGCTTAAAAAATGGTTTTATTGTTAATATCGCGCCTAACAAAATATTCATGAACTTTTAAAAAAATAACATTAAAAAGTTTGAAAGTAATTTATGAAGTATCAATAGATGGTTTTCATCCATGTATTGACGATAAAAACTTTTTGTATAAAGGTAGAAGTGTTAATATTACTCTTAAATTTCTAAAATATTTTAAAATTTTCTCTCTAAAATGAGTAAAAGTATTTTTTAAACATTTTACCTTAAAAGGTAAATTTTAAAAGTTGACAATTTTAAAAGTATTTTTATTAATTTAGCATATTATTTATATCATATTATTCTTAAACTGAAATACTAAATTTAGGTTTATTTTTTTAGTCTCACAATTTTC